TGGGTAGAATGCTCCTTACACTGGCGGTCAGTGGGTAGAATGCTCCTTACACTGGCGGTCAGTGGGTAGAATGCTCCTTACACTGGCGGTCAGTGGGTAGAATGCTCCTTACACTGGCGGTCAGTGGGTAGAATGCGTCTTACACTGGTGGTCAGTGGGTAGAATGCTCCTTACACTGGTGATCAGTGGGTAGAATGCTCCCTACACTCGTGGTCAGAGGGTACAATACATTTTACACTGGTGATCAGTGGGTAGAATGCTCCTTACACTGGTGGTCAGTTGGTAGAATGCTCCTTACACTGGCGGTCATTGGGTAGAATGCTCCTTACACTGGCGGTCAGTGGGTAGAATGCGTCTTACACTGGTGGTCAGTGGGTAGAATGCTCCTTACACTGGTGATCAGTGGGTAGAATGCTCCCTACACTCGTGGTCAGAGGGTACAATACATTTTACACTGGTGATCAGTGGGTAGAATGCTCCTTACACTGGTGGTCAGTGGGTAGAATGCTCCTCATACTGGTGGTCAGTGGGTAGAATGCTCCCCTAACAGATAGCTGTGTCGGTAATTGCACATCTGAGTCTCTTTGTATAGAAAAGCCCCTTCAATATTCCACAATGATAACAATATCAAACCCATTGACTTCCAGCAACTTATCACAAGGGACGTTCTAGGCAATCGACTTACAGCAAGAAGTAGGAACCGCCGGCCACATCAGCTCCTGTTGTCGCGACCTCCGACCCTGGCAATCAACATAAACCCCAACGCTGCTAAAACACAGCAGGTATTCTTTATTTGAGATCTCCACCGCGCATATGGCGTCCGTGGGTTGCTGCGTGATGAAGGACAGCGTGTGGTCGTCGTTGTGGAGGAGGCTGGAAGGACTTCCCTCTGCGTGCAGCGGGTACCTGATAAACCCCGACTGATGACCCACGCACAGGCGCTCGTTAAATATGGCCATCCATTGGACGTTGCCCGGGACCTGGATCTCCTTGATCTTTTTGTGGCGGGTCTTGCTTTGGTTCAGTTCGTAGCAGAGAACCTGCCTCTTCATAGAGACGCACAGGCAGGTGAGGGTGCCGTGCCGCACCTGGCCAGACGCGATGCCCTGGCAGCCCTTGGTTTCAGCCAGCTTGAAGAACTCAGTCTCTCTGCCGTCCAGGGACGCCAAGGGGTAGAGGCGGACATGGCGATTTCTCCCGGAAATGACGGCAATGAGCTGCTCTTGTGGGATCAGCTCCACCTGGTGGACTTTCTTGTTGTCCCCGACTCTGATAATCTCTGCCAAGGAAGACCAAAAAACAGAATAAACTTCAACATTCATTCCCTGAGAAAACCTTTTAACCGCTTGAAGACCAGGTGTTACACCCCCTTCCTTAGACCCCCTTCCTGGCCAGGCCATTTTTCAGTATTCAGCGCTGCGGTACTTTGACTGACGTTTTTTCCGTCATGCAGCGCTGTACTGAAATACATTTTATACCATTTTTTAGGGACAGATAGATAGAATTACTGAAAAATGTGAAAAAAAAAAGGTTTTTTTTTTACATTGTTAGGAAACATTTATTATTACCCAGTTTTTTGGTAAAATATAAAAGTCTGGGTCACATCGGGTAAATAGACACCAAACATGTCAAGCTTTAAAATTGGGCGCACCCGCAAAATGACCATACCCAAAACTGGTCATAGGCGACGCTAAAAGCTTTTACCGCTCATCAGTTTAGTGTTATCAGTGATTGATGGCCCTAAAATTATTGCTCTTACTGTGACGTTCGCGGCGATATGTAACATGCGTGGCGTATTGGGCACAATTGTCGTTCTTGCACGTATGCGCCCCCGACGCATGTTTGCATGCGTGTATGTTTTTATATTCTTTTTTGTGTGCAACTTTAAATAAGTTAAAGAAACTCCAACAAAAAATAGATTTTTCTTAGTACAGGATATAGTGGGGATGAGCTAGAACTCAGTGAGATTTCTTTTTTGCTGTCTGTATGAGATTTTCCTTCACTTCCTGTACCAGAGACACAACAGGAAGTGAGAGGATCTATCTCCAAAGTAAGGGAAAATCCCTCCTTACACAGTTGTTAGATGTCACTACTGGACAATTTCCTGGTCAAGTGACAACTGGAAAATTTTGGAGTGTTCTCCTCACCTTCTGTCTATTTGATGGGTGGTAGGTAAAGCTGAACTACAGGTAAGTATAGAAGACACACATTAAGCTCTGTATTCATTAATACATCATTAAATGTATTTTTTTTAAATGCAAGCAGTGCAAGAACCTAAATTTCATTAGGAATCAGCCTATTGTAGTTCCTGTACACCAAAGCTCAGACTGGGAGAGAAAGTCGCAGAACAAGGAGCCAATCAGGTGCACTTCAGTGCAAGAAGCATACAGATAAGAGGAGAAAGCAGAGTGACGGAGAGATAGGATCATTAGTCTGCTGCTTCACCTTTCACTGCCCAGCCACATGCTACGGGAGGAACAAGATCTTTAAAAGGAGAACTATGAGGTGGATGACTTTCACTCAGCCTCATAGTTCTAGCCGACCTGTGACAATGAGACACAGGTCGGCTCAATAGATCGGAAAGTGAGCAAACGCATACCGGCGCTCGCTCACGTCCCTGCAGAGAGCGGTGACTGTCACGCAAAGATTCCCCCCACCCTCCCCTGTCCGATCCTCCAGCGCTGACTGGAGGAATGAACGGGGGAGGGGGTGGGTACAGCTGGCTCTGCCTCTAGATAGGCAGAGCCAGCTGTCAATCACGCAGCTGGGTGGATCTCGACAGTAATGTCGGCATCTGTCCCGGCTGCGGCGGTCTCAGTATACCGCGAGCTGTAGCTTGCGAAATAATGAGCTTTGGGTGACGGGAGGACGCTAGTTTATGTCCTCCCGTGATCCTGAGGAGAACTATGGGGAAAAGCACTGACCCCATAGTTCTCCTTTAAGTGTTACATAACTGCAGCAAAGAATAATCAGGTCTCCTCCCCTGCCAGACAGGGCTGTGGTGTGTGGCAGAGCTGTGCAAATATCAGCACTTGGTGAACAGCAACAAAAATCCTTTGGCAGGTCCCATATACATATATATCATATGTGTATGTAGCCGTTTGCCTGGAGTTCATCTTTCATTTCCTGTCTGAGAAGTGTCAGAGCCGGAACAGAGACAAAATCCCTTCAATGATAACATGTACACATTTTCTAGCAGAGTGGGGAAGGGGTAGGACCCCTGTCCAGTTATTATTGCTGGCGGTGTCTAGTTGGGGGATTCATCCTTTTTTTTTGTCCTGGTGACCCTTCATTTTGCAGTTGCCACCAGAACAAAGGTTGAACTTGATGGACCTGTGTCTTTATTCAACCTCAAATTCTATGTAACAAGAGGTGCAGGGAAATCCTATAACAGGGAAGACTGTTCCCGTAAAATCTTTCTCTCCAAAGTGAGGACATTTTTCCTCACTTCCTGTCGTGTCCTTATGAAAGAAGTAAAGGGAAATCTAACCAATGGAAAAGAAACAGCCAAGAAAACTGACAGAGGATCCGACAATTTCCTTCTGTATCTAACACAAGAAAATAGTTTTGTCTGAAAGTCCCGGAAATCTTTTACACATGACCGTTTTATAAATGTTACCCCAAACTGTACATGTTACACCAATGTATTTATCTGAACATATAGAGGGAACAGAAGATATTTTCTTACCATCTTTGGTGACATGAACAACAAATAATCCTTCTTCATTCCCTAGGAAGTGCTGTACTCCGTTCTCCACTGCGGGTCTCGATAAGTATCTCATTGCCCGATGTACAGTACACTGTTCGGTACAGTACATCGGCAACGCTATACAGTACTGTACTAATGCAGTACAGTACTGTATAGAGTTCCTCACTTAGCGACCAATTCGTTTTAACGACCTAGTCGTAGGAACGGAACGTTAAGTGAGGAATACCTGTATATACTAGGGATGCACCGATACAGATACTAGAATTGGTTTTGGTGCCGAGTATTTGGGCGTGTACTCGCCAAAATGCTCTGATGTCTAGCTCGATAAAAATAGAGCTTCCGGTATCGGGAAGCCGGGCAGCGAGTCATTACACGCGGTTTCCTGATTGGCCAGAAAGCCAGCTCCATGCTCCTTCATCACTTGTGCAGTGTTGAAGGTTTTTTTGGAGGGGGTGTCCAAAGTATTTACCTGATTAAGCATACTGTTGCTTAAAAAATTATTTTATTGCATGCAGGAGGGAAATAAGATCTTCCTTCACAATATGAATGATGGGCTCATATACAACTTCCCAAAAAGAAACTTTCAAAGGTAAAATAAATCTATTATTCCATAGTGCCTCACCGAGGATGGCAGCGGACTGGGTGTTCTTGATGAGCGGCAGTGTGCTATCATAGGCCTCTTTAGGGATGTAGACAGACCGGTCCTTCAGCTTGTTCTTCCTCAGGATGCGGTGCAGCTCATTCAGTACCCCCACCCACTTACTCTTGTCACTCTCGCTGTCCGCCAGGAGTAAGATGGAGCATTTGTTGCTGGACGTCGAGAGCTGAGAAGCCGTCACCTTAAAAAAAACAAAAGCACATCAAACCACACCTGAATCACCCCAAATGTGATTGTTCTGACACCTCAAATATCAGTGCTAAATCAGAGTCACTTTAAAATAAATCTGCCCTATACATTAGGTGTACCCACCCCCATATGGGCTCTATATGTCCAATAAAGTATTCTATAAGCAAGTAAATGGCATTCTGCACAGCAGAGTAGGGACTGGTCAGAGAGGGAGCACTTTGACAAAGTTGGACAGAGAGGGATCGCTTCGACGCAGCCGGCCAGAGAGGGATCACTTTGATAGAGCCGGCCAGAGAGGGACCGCTTCGACGCAGCCGGCCAGAGAGGGATCACTATGACGCAGCCGACCAGAGAGGGATCACTATGACGCAGCCGACCAGAGAGGGATCACTTTGATGGAGCTGGCCAGAGAGGGATAACTTTGACATAGCTGGCCAGCTTGAACATGTATTGCAATATGTGTGTGTGTGTATAATATATATATATATATATATATATATTTGGATTTGAGCACAGACATATCTCTATTCCTGAACATTAGGTGAACCAAGACTGTTAATAATAATATTATTATTATGTATCCGTTGGTGTATAGAATGCCCCCAGACCATAACTTTTTTTCAAGCGTGTGCTCAGATTTTCTCAGATGTCTGCACTAAGACATGAGCAACATTTTAGGCACCTTCTACAATAGGCATTTACATTTTTGGTGGGCTATCCCCTAAGGCAGGCGTAGGCAACCTTGGCTCTCCAGCTGTGCTGAAACAACAAATCCCATAAGGCATAGCAAGCCACAGGCATGACTCCCAGAGGCAGAAGCAGAGTGAGATTTGTAGTTTCAGCACACCTGGAGAGCCAAGGTTGCCTACCCCTGCCCTAAGGGTTAACTACTTCTAAATGGATGCAGACACTGCAACTTTCCTCTGAACACTGAGAGTGCACCAGGTAGTTATAATGAACCCAGACCCTCCCATTCAGGACTCAGTCTGGAAAGGACACAGTGAAACAAACATATTTTACATCAGAAAAGATAAAGGTTGGAATCCAGCAACGTTTATCACAATCCTGGCACTGTACATGAATCAAGCACAGGGAATTGTTTTTTTCCTCAGCAAAAGTGGAGTTACTTTTTAAGACCTAACTGAAAATACCCAATGCTATGAGATCTAGCGTCCCCCGCACCTCTCTTCTATTTCCTGTTCCAATGTAAGTCCTTTCTGAAGACTGAAGGAACATCTTTTTTTAGAAGGTGCAGAGTACCTGAAACTTGGCAAAATGTTTCTGACAAATCAGGTCTGGCTTGGCATGCATTTTTACTCCACAGCACAGAGAGAACAAGGGTTAGGATCAGATACAAAACACAGGGAAAACTGATGCCACTCACTCGGAAAATGCAGGGAATGTCCTTCCGATTGGCGTGGATGACATCAGAGGCCAGGACAGAGCTGACAGCAAACTCCTCGTCTCTGAAAGCAGAATACATGAATGACAAGAACTGCAAACAAGAAAAGACGGCCATGATGGCTGCCTGGTTCTTCAGCTTACCTCATATCGATGACCTGGCTCACCACACAAGATGGCTGAGAGCTTTTCCCCTCCGGAATATCATATAGGAAGAGTTTGAAGTCACACACAACTGCCAGTGCCCGTTGCCATCCCTTCTTCACTCCCGCTGGCTTGGGCACCTGAGAAACAAACACAGCGATACATCAATACCAGGGGACAAAAAGATATGGCTGAAGGTGGAAGTCTTGACTAAGCTCAGTCAGGACAATTTGGAGAAACTCCGACTCTGTGGGACAAGCTCCGAGAAGCAGAGAAGGTGCTTGACCTACTTACTCGAACGTGCCCTTCATACGCCGTCCCAATGCCTTTCTGAGGGTCGATGCCCAGTGGGCCCTTGGTCTGTTCAGGAGGAATGGGGCACAACGAGGGTGCTTTATCTGCACACGTTACATGGCAAGAGAAACCGCACACTGGCAAGAAAAAAAAATGTAATTCAATTCAATTAATGGAACTATTTATCAATGGACTGGTTTCAACACAAATATAATGGTGTGTGCCCTTCATTACCCAGCACTCATTGCAGGAATTGAATAATCAGGGAAGATTTGGGTGGTGAATAGAGATAACAATGGGAAGGCTTATGATGTTTGGATCAAAGGGAATGGGTAGTGCTCCAGAGAAACTGAACTAAACGCCTTTGGATCACACCCACACATGTAATAACTGGACCAAAGGCCATTGGTATTGACTGGTGAAGGGAGGGTGACACCATCCTGTGCACACAGGTAGCCACTAGTTAGAGTTGTCACTGGAGCGTAGGTAGAAAACTTGATTATCTCAAAAAAGGGAAAAACAATTCAGGAGAGACAACCCTATTTCAGGTATGCAGGGCACAAGGGAAAGGCTTCTGGTACTGTGCACTTACCTTCGCAGGTGCAACCCTGTCGGATCAGACCCACCATAAGTGACGTACATTGGTTGCATTTTGTTGGCGTACTGAAAGTCTTCACAACAAACTGGTGAGCTTTGGGCTACACAAGAAATAAACACATTATATTTTGGTTGACACATTTAAAGTGTACCTGTCTTTGAGAATGTAATTTATTTTTCCTTATGAGTGTTTACAAAAAACTACAAGGAGCCTCATCAATGCTAGCTCCTGGAAAGGGAAATAAATCACAGGATTCAGAATCTGTCATTGATGCATCAGGTCCTTTGTACCTAAATCTGCCTGTGTTACTGAATGCAACAGCTTCAATGCCCACATTGTCAAAGCAGGCTAGGGGGGAAAAAAGGGAAGAAAAGACTTGGTTGCTATGCGCAATCCTGAAAGTTCCTCTTTCAGAAAGAATAATACCAGAAGCTTTATACGTAGGTTTGCTTTTGCTGAAATGCGGTTTTACCTTTGGTGTGGAGGAGCCCGAGCCCAGGTAGGAAGACCTGAACGTTGGTGTCTGTGCTGAGCGTGGAGGGTGATCTGTGGCCTGTAGGGCAGAAGTAAAGAGAATTATGATACAATGCCAATCAAATGATCAGATTTAACCCACAGCAAGCTACACAATGCCAAAGCACTCTAGGACCCAAAGTGTTTGATGGGAAAGTGGCCAGGGAGATCATCAGAATAAACAAACATTAAACATCTATTGTCTGCCACATACAAAGCTTTTTTGTAACACCTCTCTCTGGGTGGCTTAATAACACCTGCTAGCTCCAAACATGCAACATTCACCATATTTATTCCCACATAATTTTTGTACAAGTCATTCTGAACTGAGAAAGCCAGCGGGATGACCAGCGAAACCTCTTCAAGAAAAATACAGCAAGTCCAGTTGCCTTGATTTATTTTTTTACAGATATAACTGAACTCTCAGTACAGATCTCTTAGTTGTCAGTTACCCTTCAGGATGCCCAAAAAATGGGACTTGCAGCCCCCTGGCCACTGTATACTTTCTACCTAGCTGCTCCTGCCACCACTAGAGGGAGCACTTTGATGCAGGTTGTTCATCACTAGAGGGATCTTATAAGAGACAAGACGTTCACCACTAGAGGGAATGCTTTACACACATGCTGTTCAGGGCTAGAGGGGACTCTTTGTATACAGGTGATTCACAACCAGAGGGAGCTCTTTGGATACAGATGGTTCACCATTAGAAGCCGCTCTTTGGAGACATGCTGTTATCAATGAGGGAGCTTTGGCATATAGGTTGTTCATTTAGCCTCAGGCGATTCAGATGCCGAGCTGTTTTCGATCACGCGACTGTTCATTGTAAACCGTGCGTTTTCCAATGCATAGAGATGTCTATGGGACCCAAACCGCATAACAACCGCCTGAAAATAGCTCCTACGCCATTTCGCGCGACAAGCGATTTAATTAGCGCGACAAACCGCAAAGGTGTGAGCAGCCTCCATTGACTTCAATGCGAATCCGTGTTTTGCACGATATTGCGCGACTCAAACCGCGCAATAAATCGCCTAGGTGTGCACCGGCCCTTATGCAGAGCCCATCTAGTTCCTCCAGTGTTGGCTGAAAAAGCGCCTTTAGCAGCACAACAGGATTTAAACCAAACTCAGGATGCTGCAGGCCCCACTGTACCAGCCTAAGTTAGCGCAAGAGTCTCTAATGTTTCTGGACAGCCTGCATGGACAACTGAAAATGCTGTTATCCTTTATAAAATACAAGTGCTCTTTTGTAATCCATATATTTGGACTACAAAAGTTTGCAAAATATATTTTAGTTTGCATCGCATTACCAGGATTTCCCAGCAAGCAGCACTGCTGGTACACGCTGTAATTGCAGGTTACTGACTCAAGAAAATGGGTCCTCGTCAGTGTTCCTGAAAGTCTCCAGCAGATAATACATTATGTGGGATGGTTAGAAGCCTTAGAGAACATAAAAAATGCAGAAGCGCACTACCAAGTAGTGACTGAGCAGGAGAAAATAATCGAATGAGACTTACCAGGGTGTGGATTAGAAGCCTTACCTCACCGGGTTCAATGTCACTCATAGTCGACGGCGACCTGGAGCGCGATATGACCTGAGATTTTGCGTCCTCATCACGTGACGGCGTATTGGACAGAGTAAAGTTGTCCACCGAATCCATCTGGAAACAGAAAACATGCTTCAGAATCCGAGACTGCGTTCTATGCGTCTGTAATTTGAAAGGGATGAGCGCAACACAAGTATAAAGGGGAACCCTAACTCCTGCAAATAATAGAATGGCAGAGTCATGAACGCGAAGAAGATACATTTGTGTCAATTGTTAAAGTACTTGAATGGATTTTTAAGATTTAACTCCTGAGTTTAGTGTCACTTTATATAATGCGTGCGATACTGAAGAGATCTGATCCACCTTGGAATTAGTAGTGCCTATGGCAGTCAGGAACCCCCACACCAGATCGGAGTCTTGGGTGTGACAGTACTGTGCCTGACGGGGTCCCTTTAAACATGACACCTCTCAGTATTATGGTTATCTCTGAAAGGACTCCCTTCTTGCCTTTGCCTTTCCTACCAAACAGAAAAACCCCCCAAAGTTTTGTGCAATAAACAGTTTAGTAAAAATGCATCTCGAGAGTGAGGCTGATCCCTGGCTCTGAAAACAAGCCTGCAGTGCCGGTCGTTGTGCATCGGTAGCCGTCCCCTTGGTTTCACTTATGCGGAACAGAAAGCGGAGCAGGAAATGCAGCCAGCCAGCATGCAGAAGGCAGAAAAAAGCCCGACATGACCCATGTAAAACAAAGACATTTATACCACAGGCAGAAAAGGGGGAGCACACAAAGCAAGACAGCCTCTTACACGTCTGCCTCTACTGGCTGGGTTGCAGGACGGAGAGCGCTTCAAGAGAGAGGAGACAGGTTACACACTCACCGCTCGCACACAGCGCTGACACACATAATAACGCTGCAGCCGCGTCACGCTGCCACTACACAGCAAGGGAACGCTTCTTTTTATACAGGTCAGATAACAGTGAGGAGACCTCGGAGAATTTCTGAAGGAAACCTGAACTAAAAATAATCCTGTTGTTGCTGGGCTCCCGCCAGCTTTAATACCCGCCAAGACTCTGATGTATATATATATATATATTATTTTATACCATAGACAAAAACAATGGCCCTTGCAGTGAGGGCGTATCCCCACTGCAAGGGTTAGTTTTTATTCTGCAAGGAGTTGCAAAGTATACAATACGCTCCATGTAATCTAGGCAAAAAATGAACCCCACGCTTTATATCACCAAGCCTGCTACAATGTTTCCATCTCACCTCTCCATCCTACTTGCAGTACAAGAGGCACCTACAAGGAACCTCATCTGTACCCGCAGTGCTGGTATTTTACAGGTACCAGACCTAACGCAGCTCACCACGCCAGGCACAGGAAATCAAGAGAGGATTATTTTTAACAATGAAAAGAAGAAATATCTACAGTTTTATTCTATACTAAAAAAAGGACTTAATTCCGTCTAGAGGGTACACTCACCTCAAAGTGATCCAGCACAGAGGTAGGTGCATTCAGAAATGCCAAGAATGAATTGTGCGATTCCTGATGTTTCACACCTAGACAAGAAAACACACAGTATGACTTTATGGCCAGCATCATTCAACCCACTTCCTCAGAGCCCAGGTCCTGGACAGTGAAAGGAGAAGCGGCACAGTAATGAGCTCATCTCTCTGTCACTATGCTCTCTCCTTTTATCAGCACATGTATTGATTGGCTCCTTGCTCCATTTCAGCATTCCATTGCATGAGATTTGATTTTCCATAAAACCTAAAGAGGCTCTCCTCTATCAGCATGCTTCTAGTCAGCACATGAGCTGATTGGCTCTTGGCTCTGTACTGCTTCCTCCTCCTTCACTCCAGCCCTGCTGTGCAGGAACTGCAAAAGGCTGGTATCAGGGCAGATTTAGGTACTCACACTGCCTGCATTCTAAAAAATAAATCGAATGATGTATTAATGATCACAGAGCTGCATTTGATATCCGCTTTAGGTTAGAGTGTGGAAGGGTAAGATCCCCTGTCAGATTTTTATTGCTGTGGGTGTCCTATTGGGGAGAGACACCTTCTCTATTTGTCATGTGACAGTGACGGGAATTTCACTGTGTTATAGTTGTCACCAGAACAGATAGAAGTCTGTTAACTGTTCCAGTGATAACTATTTGCCCAAAACATGGGGTGATTTCCTCAGTTCCTGTTGTATCTCCGGGACAGGAAGTGATAGAAAATCTCCCCATGGGGACAAAGATAACAAAACACAGGTACATGAGTTTTATATACTGCTACAACAGCTGCTTGCTATTTGTCATAGTCACCCCTGCACACCACAAAGCACGGATGTCTAGCCCTCTGGTGTCTGTTACCTTTCTCCGATCGGAACTCTTCGGTTTCCCATTTCAGCTTCTCAATCTCTGCCGCCAGCTCCTGGTTCCTCTTCTCGGACTCCTGCAGTTTACTGTCAGGTCAAAAAAAGAAAAAGGTGAACAAGGTTCAGCTAGAATCCAACCGTCGTCACTTTCAGGTGGAAGAATATAGGCGAATAGTTTGCTGCGTTCAGGGACGGGGTAGACACTGCCTCTTGACGCAGTTACACTCCACTGCACACAAACGTATCAATAAACTGCAGTCAGTTTGTGTGCGACCAAAAATGGCATCCCGATGTCGTCCCTGGATGCACACCACCTGCGTCCAGGATCAGTCAGAGGCTATGTGTAATAGCATTGATGAGCGGCTACATGCAAACAGCGGCAGTGGCGGCCATTGATTTGTGACCACTGCTGTTGGTTGGTCACGGCTGTTCACACGCGCTGCATGCATGCAACATATGGCTCAGTCAGCAAGAATCACCAGATACTTGCCACATCTGCCCCCAGCTGCTCGTGTGAATGTGACCTAATTGTTGTGAATGGCAAATCGAGAAATTCACCAGCGCTATTTACTCCAAGTGCTAAACCAAGGTTACATTGTTAACTTATATTTAACTCTTTATTTTCTTCCCTTGGAAACAATGTAGCTGCACCCCGTGGATCATTACAGGTATCAGTAATATGACAATAAAATACAAATTGGAACGGTAACACAGCTGCATATTTGCTGCTGCCATGTTCACAAAGCTCTCCAGCGTATAACAACTGCAATTACAATTATTCCACCTCATTTCACTTGTAATAAACATATTTCACCAGGAGACAGTGCTGAAAGTTATGTCTATAAACCGACCACCAGATGGCGACAAAACACCATTTTAAAGAACATGAATGATAAATCAGATCGCTATGGGGGGACTTTACTTAAACTGGAGCAGGCAGAATCTGGAGCAGCTGTGTATAGTAACCAATCAGCTTATATCTTCAGCTTGTTTAGAAGGGAGGACGCTAGTTTGTGTCCTCCCGTTACCCCAAGGAGAACTATGGGGAAAAACACTGACCCCATAGTTCTCCTTTAAGCTTTAAAAAATGACAGATAGAAGATGACTGAGTGCCATGCACTGCTGCTCCAGTAAATTCCTCCTATGTATCACACATAACTATTTTTTTTTTACATTCTATTTTAAAGGTTTTATCATCCTTTGCTGCATATTGGCACCGCACATCTCATGCAGCCCCTTTTACCGCCACTTCCTGCCTGCATGCAATCCAGCAACTTCTGCACCCCATTTCTAACGGCGGTTTCCTGATGGTGACAGCAGCCCATGCCTTCCTTCCAACAGGCGAACTGTAGGCACATAGTTTCTTGTGATTATGAAGCATTTCTCACAATTCACTGTGGCAAAAAATGAACATTTCTTGTTGGCCAACGCAAATAATGACAAATTGTGGAATTATCATAGAACATAATCAGTTTATACTGTTTAGAATTCACTAATTTTTGTGCCTTGTTAAGGTTTCAATTGTCAGGCGAGTTTCACTTTGAAATTGAGTGAACACCAGAGAGGGACAAACAGAGTACGGTAGCTTGCGGTCATCTGCACAGTCTGTGAAGCTCCATGCCTTGTGGCAGGTGATACACGTACCATTCTGTAGCAATGATAGCCGCCTTGGCCTTGTTGAGCTCTTCCTGGATGGTTTGCTTAGCCCGGATTTCAGCATCCAGAGCAGACTGCAGCTCCAACCTGGCCGACATGTCAAGCTTGGCAAAGCGTCGCATCTTCCAAGGCATGTCCTGTCACAGAGGAAGCACAGAACACAGCCATGAGTCATCTCATACATAGTATCAGCAGAAGGTCTGTCTTGAAGTGGACCATTCATTTAAAGTGACACTAAACTGAGGAGTTAAATCTTAAAAATGCATTCAGGTACCCTAACTATTAACAACAATGTATCTTATTTGTGTATAACTCGGCTGTAGATCCTCAAACCATCTCTGAATTGGTGCTGACACTGTCCTTCCTTCTGGAGGGTGGCTACTTTTGTTCCCGATGGTCCCTGTGTGTGTTGTAAAGTACTCACCGCTCCAAGCTCACTCCTGTGATGGACTACAATCTCATCTTTATCTTATTTGCATTGAGATTGTAGTCCATCACTGGAGTGAGCTTGGAGCGGTGACTACTTTACAACACACACAGGGACCATGGGGAACAAAAGCAGCCACCCTCCAGAAGGAAGGACAGTGTCAGCACCAATTCAGAGATGATTTGACAACCTGGCTCGCAATCGGCCTTCCAACTCACCCCAAAGGTCATCAGTAGAGTTGAGGTCAGGGCTCTGTGTAGGCACCTCGAGTTCCACCACACCAAGCTGGACAAACCATGTCTTTATGGTGCTGGCTTTGTGCATAGGGGCACAGTCTGAAACAGAAAAAGGCCTTCCCCAAACTGTTACCTCAAGGTTGGTAACCTCGTGGTTACCACAGTTGTCTACAATGCCTTTGTATGCTGTTAGCATTGACAATACCCCGACCTAGAAACACTAGAATGTAATCATTTGCAGAGATGCTCACCTATTTTTGGCCATATAGTGTATGTCGGTAGGTCATTTACAGAACATATTTACACTTCTTGCTATGCAGACTAATAACTACAAGAAAATGTCTGCCCGCTGAACCAACATGTTCAGCTCCCTTCACATTAACATACACCTTTGCTGGGGGCCACCGCTTGCCTAGTAGTCAATAAACCTCTTTCACAGATAACATACTAGTCCAGATCCAGTGTGGCTTTGTGTACTAAGTCAAACATTTGTTGCAAAGCTTTGCTTAAACTGCTTTATTCGATGTTCATTTGCCTTTAGGTTTGCTCTTTACATACACAGGGCGGTGCAGAGGGTGCCTGGGCTCCTCGCGTTCATGACTCTGCCATTCTATTATTTGCAGGAGTTAGGGTTCCCCTTTATACTTGTGTTGCGCTCATCCCTTTCAAATTACAGACGCAGAGAACGCAGTCTCGGATTCTGAAGCATGTTTTCTGTTCTGTGTACCCGCCCGTCCCCCGTCCGTTCCGCCAGTCAGCGCTGGAGGATCAGACAGTGGAGGGGGGAATCCAGTCCCTCCCCTGTCACGGCTCTCTGCTGGCACAGGATCGAGAAGTGAGCGAGCTCCGGTATGTGTTCGCTCACTTCCCGATCTACTGAGCCGACCTGTGAAAGTTTCATTGTCGCAGGTCGGCTCAGATTATGAGGCTGAGTGAAAATTACTCGCCTCATAATTCTCCTTTAACTCCTGAGTCACCCTTTTCATCAGTCGACCCCCCAAAACATCAGAATAGAAGCTGCTCTTTCATAACAGAGTCCTTTGCTTTCACATCAGAATTCCCCATTACATCAGAAGCCCCCTTCATCTCAGTCTTCATTCCCCCTTCACATCACAATCCCACTACCACAAAATTTGAGGCACCCCTGAGGAAGCCAGAAAGCACACCAGGCCTGGTTGAGATAGGCATGCAGATACCTCATCTCAGGGGTAGGCAAGCTCGGCACTTCAGCTGTATTGGACCTAAAAGGTCCCATGAGACATTGCAAGACTAACAAATAAAAGCAGAAGCATGATGGGATTTGCAGTTTCATCAAAGCTGGAGGGCAGAGGTTGCCTGCCCATGCACTATGATAGCATTATCTTCTGCCAGTTTAGCTTATAAGTGTACAGTGGATGTAAGAAGTGGGGGGCCCCACAAGCTTAATGCTCCTTACCGTGGCTCGTGCCCCCAGACTTGAATTTCTCAGAGTCTCCAGCTCTTCTGTCATCTTGGAAGCCAATGCTTGCAGGTAGCCCCGCGCATCCTTCTCATCGCTCACCCTGAGGAGAGAACAGCCAGATCTTTACAGAGGTCCAAACAATGGGGTCAGAAAAACCAACATAGGTCAACTTTAAAAGTGCAACGGTTTCCCATATCCAATGGAGGCAGCCAATGTTGTGGCAAACCAAAATCACCGGCAACTTATCAGCTAATGCACAACTGCTCTCTGATCACGTTATCTGTTCAGGCAGAGACATGCAATGAAGCCGTTTTCATAGGCAGTTCTGGGCAGGTTACCAAACTTAAAAGCCCTGAAGAAGGAGGCGAGTTAAGATCCCTGAAGCACACTGGAATTATGGACAAGGTTTTCATCAAATAAAGACTTTGTCTTCAACATTTCAGATAACTAAGAGCCACAAGAGCCGTCCACCAGTGACAGCGGCAGGAAGACCACTCTTTCTACTTACAAAATGGCAGCCTATGGTAGCATTGTGAATGTTCTTATCACACATTGGACTAAGCTGAATCTGATATAGAAAACCTGTACTGTGGAAATAAGTTGCCTGGCTGTTATGCCAATCCACAGGCGTCACTGCTTTTGGAGTCACTGAGATGCAACAAGTATGAATTTTGATTCCAACTTTCGGCTGTCTAGCTGCAGAAGCTCCAAAAGTACAGAAGAGATAGCCAGAGAAATATTTTCAGAAAGAGGTAACAAGCAGCAGGCTCTGCAGTTTCTAATTCTTCACAAGATGTCCTCAGCGTTCCAGGTTTAATGGCACTCAATGTCACCCAATCCAGACTGAGTGCATGATGTCATGGGCCTGCCCCTGAGGGATCCAGCACTGCTCTCTGCATCATCCAGGCCTGCCCACTGGTGGGAGGAGACCAAAAGGGAAGAAGGCCCAGTACATCACATGACCAGCCGGAAGCCATATACAAGGGGAAAAAAAAGCATAAAATTCTGCTAGAGGTGGGCTCATGGGCAAGGGTCTTGGGGGAGAGCCGCAGAGGGAGCACAGAACACAGCCATGAGTCATCTCATACATACTACCAAGCAGAAGGTCTGACTTGAAGTGGACCTGTCATTTAAAGTGACACTAAACTCAGGAGTTAAATCTTAAAAATGCTTCTTTGGGTTTTGGGAGTGGGTGCTTCTTTACTGGGGAAAGGAGCCTAGTGCAAGACTTTGGGCTTTAAAATAAACCTGTTCGTGCGAAGAAGGTAGTGATACTGCGGTGGAGACAGAGCGCGCCTCCGAACCTCTCCCACTGGAAGGGCCTTGTTAACTCATACTTATGCCTTTATAAGGTGACCTATCTGAGGAGAGGATGCCCCAGTAAGTTTTCTAAGGTCTGTGGTTGTTGGTTGGAATCTGCTGACACCGCGGCCTGAGGGGTTTGATTTTTCTCCAACGCGGAGCGCTTAGTGAGTGTACACTAGGGGCCTTGATTCACTGTATGCTTAACCTTGTAAATATGATACTCTGCTTGGTGCTGTTGGACTTTGGGAGACTCACACTTTCCCCGGGGGGGGGGGTTTGGACACAGACCCTGATTATGGGTCTGTTCTTCCAAGGGTTTTTCAATTGTTTTTCTCTGTTATTTACTGTACTGAAATATGTGCCCTCACGACTGTGAGTGCCTATGACTATGTTCTGTATTGTAAAACTTCAATAAAGAGAATTTATTAAAGAATAAATAAACCCATTCTAAGCCTGCAATTAAAACAGACTATTTAATAACAAACTGCATAAGAAAAGGATACCGTCAGTGGGAACTGAATTTCTACTGAAGGTAGTCAGTGAAGGTAACCGCTGTTTATACATTTATCACTTTCTAAGGTGAACTGACCTGGTGTGTGACAGGCTCACATTAAGGTAAACTGAGTGGACTTTCTGAATAGCCATTTAGCAGTTCAGGGATCAATTTTACTTTCTGTCTTGTGTGGCTCATTAAACCTGTTACAGACGTACATTTTACCCTGTGTGATGACATCACCAGGAGACGTTTTACAGAAGGGCCGAGCACAGAACACCCTTGTGATTCCCCTGTATACACTGCATACAGCTGTAACCCAGAAGTCATTGCCCCTAGGGAAATTCTTTCTGCATTCCTGTCAATTTCCTGCAGCTAAAGGGTTAAGCCTGCAATCCCTAACTTGGCTCCCATCCACAAGGTCAGGCTCTCCGATTCCTCAATGTCCACATCCAGGTCCAGGGAACTGAGGGATCTTTCCAAAACTTTGCCCAAATAAGGACAATGATGCTGGGCTGTGTGCAGGGGCTGCGTTCCCATAAAAAGACAACTTTTACTGCTCCGATGGCAGCGGGAGAGGAGAGATGGGCTGCTCCGGTGACAACCATGTGTGGAACCTGGAATAATGTAAACATCTAATAAAAACAGCCTCCCAGTAACATTTCTGAGGCTTCAGTTCATATCAATGCAGTCAGGAGATCACCGAGAGACCTAAAAGAAGCAAACACAAAGTATGCAATACAGTGCAATGGTGCAGCACTCCGATCCATGATCATGCAGCACTTCGATCCATCACCAGGCAGCACTGCAATCCGTCACCAGGCCGCACTGCAATCCGTCACCAGGCCGCACTGCAATCCAACGCTGCATCGATATCACTGCCTGGGAATCAGTCTTCTCACTGGTTTCCACTAATTTTATCCACCCCAGGAGCAATACTTTCAAAAAACAAAGATTTCTCTGGGTATTACTATCTGAGCCCTCCATTTTTTACACCACTGTCAAAGCTCTGAAGAAGGGAGGCGTGTTTGCTGACTAAACGGTTCGGACACTATGATCACTGATAGGATTTCCATGCATTTAAACAGGGGCATCCCTAGGTTTTTTGCCGCCTGAGGCTGGAAAAGGGAGGGGGAGGGGGGGCAGCATTCCCCCGAGCTCCTGGCAACCAGTGACATCACTGGTTGCCAGAAGCTCAGCGGGATGCTGGCAAGAGCGGCCCAGGTTACTAAGAGCTGGGCAGATAGATGTGTATGGGCCTTACACATCTCAAAAGCAGTGATGAAAAAAACTGAAGGTGGTGGCACTTACGTGTGATTGCCAGGATCTGGAGATGGGCGGCCGGTGTGGAGGATCGGGGCACTCGTGATGTGGTGTCCGACTGTGGTCGAAATGCTCTGGCTAGAAAGTGGGCGGCAGGCACACTGCAAACATTGTGCAGCACAGCAGCCATGTAGCTCTGCCTGCAGCTCCCCCAGGAGATGCCGCCTAAGGCAACAGTCTCAGACTGCCCACTTATAGGTCAGCCCTGCATTTAAACCATGGTAAACGGATCAAAATAGAAGATAAAGTAAGCAGGTGAAGGAGTATTAAAGTTATATTTTGGTGCTATAACCCTTGCTTTGCCCATTCAGTGCTCTTAACAAAACCACGGCAAGTCAATAGCAAAGGGTTTTGTACAATACATTGGAAGTATACAACAGAGATAATGTGAAATGAATGTGAAAACAGAATTGTGAGGGGTTAACAGTAAAGGTTTTCCATAGAGCTGACATTAAGACGCATGTTTCCTGCGTGACGTACTTCAATAAAGGTCACAAACATAATTTAAATGAGAGCTGCAGGTTGCAAACTCCATCTATAAAGCTCCTGTCAAGAGCCACGCGTGGAAAAAAATTTGGTCTGAGCTGAATGTTAAATACATTAAAGCACAATGATTACTGAGGAATGAAAGAATGATCTGCTCTCCCCCATGCAGATAGCTGGTCCTTGAAGATATACAGCCAGGTCACACGAGAGGCCTGTGCCCACACTGCAAGCCCCTATTTCAGAGGAATTCAGAGGAATTTGTGGGTATTAAAAATAATGTATAACCATCACGAAAAAAGCCTTTACTGCCAAAGAGACAAAGTTACATTTTTATACTTTTCTTTATCTTGATTCTATTTTTAAGCATTCTACAATCTGTAGCTCAATGTTCTCCTGCACAATACCTTATATAGAGGGAACATTAGACTAAGTTTCCCTGCATGCACCAAGTTGTCAAAACCAACTGCACTGGACAGCTCTGGGTCTCCACTAGCAATCAAAACAGAAAAAATGGTCACCAGCACTCCCAAGTTTTCTTCAAAACAAAATCCTTTTATTCATTCTAGGAGGTCATATCACCATGCGTGGCAACGTTTCAGAACCTGTCCGGCCCCTTCATCAGGCAAACAAATGTCTGCCTGATGAAGGGGCCGGACAGGTTTCAATGTATGAGAGTTAATAGAATTATGTAAAAGTCACTTTTGTTTGCCTGATGAAGGGGCCGGGCGGATTCCGAAACATTGCCACGCATGGTGATATGACCTCCTAGAATGAATAAAAGGATTTCGTTTTGAAGAAAACTTGGGAGCGCTGGTGACCATTTTTTCCTGTTTTTCAGTATTTGGAGGCGCCATACACGGCCACTTCCACACCCCCCCACATTGTATGGGGCTTCTCGGTCAGGAATGCAGTGGGACTCTCTATTTGACTCCACTAGCAATCAGGAACCAACAATCGATCATGTGATCGCCATGTCAACTATGGCATAGTGACCACATGGCTTTATTAATGAACAAAACCACGATGTGGAAACTGCGATTCTGTTTCTTTCTAGGTGCACGTTCAGTTCAGATAAAGTTGTTTTTTATGTTAAGCGTATGATTTTTTCCTTGTCACATCTGGTAGCGGCAGTCCACCAGTAATCATACATGGTACAATGACATGCGGCTTAGAATAGTTGACTGTCGCTGGACGCATCTATACACAGGTAAATCCTGTGCTATATCCTTCCACCAGAAATGACATGCTATGATGTCACATCCTCCGCATATTGACCTCACCAACCAACCTGTACTGCTGTAAGAATGTGGTCACATCTGAAGAAAGACTGACAGCAGGACTCCAATGTATGACAGTTAATAGAATTAAGTAATAAACAACACATAGGGGATGATTTATAAATCATCGCCCAGCCATGCTGGACAAATGCCGTTCAGACAGCTTTCTCGCCACTGGGAATTTCCTATGCTCCTTTGATCCATTTAGTGGCCAGAATAGTTCAACATGTAAAAAATAAAAGTGACAGATAAATACAAACCATTGGATGATTTCCGTTATCTGCGCCTCCCAGTGAGCCACTGATTCCTTCTTGTCGGCCAGATCCCTCATCTCCTCCTCCAGTTGCCGGTTGTTGACGCTCTGTCTCTCCAGCATGGAGGTCAGCTGGCAAGAACAATAAGGGATACAAATTTTGAATCACAAAAGAAATAAGTAGAGAGCGGCAATGAATGAAAGAGAATATAGTGAGTTTAAAGGTATACATGTGACTGAGATCAGCCTAACAGATATGTATAGTGTATATTGGCCAAGATACAACACAAGTGTTACTGCACCAATTACAAGCTGCTTACACACCCCACCACTAATGTCCAACTTCCTGTATTAAATCTATCCTCCGTCTTCCAACCTGGATGTTTCTTTTTATTTATTTTTTACATATCCCAGTGCTTTAGAGATAAAACCCAAAAAATAACATCATGGACACGGATCCTCTCGCTCACATAATACAACATAGGAATTAATTATAATAATTACATTATATTCCTTTTGTATTGCAACTGCAAACAGAACTGTTTTCCTATGATGAGAATATGAGGATACAAATTAAGCAATTAGAGAATATAAAAAAAAAAAAGCAAATTAGAACGTTTATGACCTAAAGCTGAACTCCCGGTAGATATAAAAGCCACCAATGAATGTAGTCATGTGTTTATTGAAAAACCATGTCATGTATTTAAAATCAGAGCTAATTTAGACAGCCAATTTCAATTTAGTTTTAGTCCTATTTCTGTCATCTGAATTGTTTTAGTTTTAGTCTCTTTTTAGTCGACTAAATCTACACTAGATCTAGTCTGCTAAAATCTAGTGGGTTAATGGGTAATTTAAGAATCTCTCTGGAATTCCCAATCTCATGATCTACTCCTGGAGTAAACATCTGTTAACCTGTTATTACTTATGGTATTCAGTAGGGATGCACTGATACCGATACTAGTATCGGTGCTGAGTATTTGGGCGAGTATTTGTACTTGCTCCGATGCCTAGCCCGATACTTCCGGTATCAGGAAGCCGGGCAGCGCTTCACTACGCGGTGCCCGGCTTCCCGCTCTCTCGTTACTTGTGACGAGAGAGCATGGGGCCAGCTTCCCGGCCAATCAGGAAGCCGGGCAGCGTGTAATGACGCGCTGCCCGGCTTCCTGATTGGTCGGGGAAGCTGGCCAATCAGAAAGCCAAGCGCCGTGTAATGACGCGACACACGGCTTCCTGATTGCCCGGGAAGCCGGCTTCATGCTCCTTCGTCACCTCATGACAAGGGAGCATGGAGCCGGCTTCCCGGCCAATCAGGGAGCCGGGCGCCACGTCATTACACGGCGCCTGGCTTCCTGAATGGCCAGAAAGCCGGCTCCATGCTTTTTCGCCACTTAGTGACAAGAAGCATGGGGACGGCTTCCCTGCTTTTTCGGGAAGCTGGGTGGCGAGTCTTTACACGCCGCCTGGCTTCCTGAATGGGACGTCCGGTACTCGGTATCAGCGAGTATGGAAAAAGAAATATCGGTACTCGATACCGAAATACCGGTATCAGTGCATCCCTAGCATTCAGGTTTGAACATGCAATACAGACACACATGTAACTGTTGTGATATATAACATGTCTTTATCTTAAAATTAGATGAAACCAAGTCTTATAAAGAAACAATAATATTGAGCATTTTCCAATAATTAGATCTGGATTGATTAGAACAACTTGCGTATGACATTCTTCATTCTTTTGAGCAGAAACGCAACTCTAAAGTATTAAAGTGAAAACTATATTGGCAGTAATGCTAATGCACATATTACCTATTAGCCGTCCATTCAGGATGGAACCGGAACGGGAAGTCCAAAGAGATTAGTTCTGATTGGATCTCCAAATCGTCTCTCCCTAACATTTTAGTCTAGTTTTAGTTAGTTGACTAAAATGTCAATATATTGTTGTTAGTTTTAGACATCATAACTTAGTTCTTATTTCGTTTAGTCACTGAAAAAGTTTTGTTGATGAAAACCATGACGGAAATGATAAGTCCACGAAACTAACACTGTTTAAAACGCAGCTTAGTGTAAGTACTTCCATTTAATATGACTCAGCCTCTTGTAAGCTAGAAGAGCGAGGGGCTGTTGTTTGAGGACAGGCATCTGCTTGGACAAGATGTCCAAACTATTTTGCCTAACCACAGCAAAGAAAAGTCTGAAACAGCTGGGTAAATCTCAGGACTGGATGGACAGAAGTAAAGATCCATTGGCTGGTAAAACAGCTTTCATATATGTAGGTGGTGGAGACTGAGACTGGCCTTGCTTCCTGTGCCTGCCCATCTTAATGTGAATGGTGGCCTCTTTGACTGATATAAAAAAATAGGACATAAAGGCCAAGGTCAACATTTCCTGTAAAAAAGTGAGATTTGCATAAATCTCTGAATCCACTGGTGATTTTGACATACAGTGAAGGGAACTTGTTTGAACTGCCCACTGTATTCTCCAACCCAACACTCAGCTTAGACAGACGATGGACCAGGTACAGAAATTACCTTGTCAAGTTCACTGGAGAATTTCTTGTTCTCGTCGGACAGGAGGACCCGCTCCCGATCAAACTTCTGCTTAGTCTCCGCTTCAAACTCTTCTCTTTCACTTTGACTATAAAATAAATGGCAGAAGGTGCCGTAGATAATGTGTGATTGGCCATTCTACACAATGCAATGCTCCTAAGCAGCGGCTCATGTTAGTTTATTTATTATTATTTATAACAGGTACTTATATAATGCTGGGAATTTAGGTAACTTTACATATTGTACATTTACACCAGGAGCTTACAATTGAAATGATCACACGTGTATGCGCACATGCACACTTGGACCAGTTTAGATGGGAGCCATTTAACTCATTCACTGCCAGATTGTTTTTTGCACAAAGGATGTTAAGAAATGACAGAGACCCATGTGCTTGAAGTATGGATGAGGAAGGGGTATTTTAGGTCAAGAGTGGTGGTGGGCAGGTGGGGTAGTTTAGGTGTGGGGGAATGGGGTACCTTAGTTGGTGGTGGGGGCGTTGGGATAGCATACTTTAGGTTGGGGGGAGGACTTGTTCAGGGGCATGTCCGCTATGCTGGACGGATCCCCGTTCGGTGTTACCCAGAGCTTAGTTCTAAAAGCTGCCATCTACTTGGCTTATTATGGTTTCCTGAGACCGGGTGAGTTCACGTCCTCCAGTCCCATAGCCGCTACAGTACGTAGGAGGAACCTATGCCGCTACCCGGACCACTATACGTTGAGCCTCGAGCGGAGTAAAACCAATCAGGTAGGCGCACCCACACGGATCGAGTTGTTTCCGTCTGGCAATGCGTGGTGCCCCGTCTCGGTGTTGGACTGTCTCATGGCCAAGCTGTCACCGACACCGCCGCACGGGCCGTTGCTGCCTTTCCCAGTCACCCCTCTCTCCTCGCAGCAGTTCGTCACACACGTCAGGGTACTCCTCGGGCAGCTAGGGGAGAATCCCAAACGTTACTCAGGGAACTCCTTCCGCATAGGGGCAGCCTCAGCCGCCTCCCGACATGGAGTTCCTGCCCACGTCATCAAGCAGTTAGGCAGGTGGAAATCGACATGCTTCGTCAGATATGTTCCGAACCCTCAAGTAGAGATGGCAAGAGCATTTTCTTGTTTGGCTGTATAAATGTAGATACGAATAAAAGCAATTGAGTTCTAAATGGTTGTTTTGCCCCCTTATTGGCGTACCGTCCACCCGGACCATGGCACATCTCAGGTCCGCATGTTTGTATTGTTGTCAATTTTGTCTAGTACACAGGTCAGAGACATTAGACAACGGACGTACGGGTCGTCAGCAGGTGGCGCCGGGCAAGTGCTTTCCAGTATCAGGTAAGTAGACTCTGAGTACAACTGCACTTTGTTTGAAAGTGATCTTATCCTTTTAAGGGGCCATCCCTAGACCATACATAGCTTTAATGTTATTTGGCTGACACAAGTATGGGGCAAGTGTATAAACCCAACATCATTTCTGGATGCTGATGGCTATTTCATGACCTGGAAGTTTGAGGGAACCCCTTAATTTAGATCAAGTGTTGTAGCAAAGCTGAGAATGTTACAAAAGTGCAGCTTTGATTGGAATTTGGTAAATGTTGGACCAAGATAGGGTAAACCGATTTCAAGGTGTGGAACCAGTTTAAATCTTATGGGCCGGAGCTCAACATTTTCAGTACGAACATAAAACGACCGATCATAGCAAACATCCGCATCAAAGCCTCAGCCTTTATATTCCCTGTATTATAAGGACCTTCGGATGTGTTTAGACATAAATCTCTCCAGTTAAAATAAAATAAACATTTGCGGATTTGCAAGCAGACTGCAAAGAACTTTATACTTTCCCTTTTTAGGATGGATCAAGAGGCACGAACAGAACCAGCCAATTCAGGATTAGTCAATACAAATGTCTTTATACACAAATGGAACAAACTGCAGAGCCCCGGGGGGCATACCATTACATTACTTCAGAAAAATTACACTGACACTTGGGGTCCAAAAAACAATTATATATTGGAGTCCTTAGAACAATGACACACCGACACTTGGGGGTCCTAAAACAATCACACACTGACACTTGGGGTCCCCAGAACAATGACACATTGACACTTGGGGTCCCCAAAAATATTACACATTGACACTTGGGGTCCCAGAAAAATTACACAGACACTTGGGGTCCACAAAATATTAACTCACTGACCCTTGGGGTCCTAAAACAATAACACACTGACACTTGGGGTCCCCAGAACAATGACACATTGACACTTGGGGTCCCAGAAAAATGACACACTGACACTTGGGGGACCACACAATAATAAACACACGGACCCTTGGGGTCCTAAAACAATCACAGACACTTGGGGATCCCCAGAACAAGGGCACATTGACACTTGGGGTCCCCAGAATAATAACACATTGACACTTGGGGTTCTCAGAAAAATACCACACTGACACTTGGGGTCCAAAAACAATAACACATTGACACTTGGGGAGCCTAGAACAATGATGCATTGCTACTTGGGATCCCCATAATAATGAGACACTGGCACATGGGGTCCCAGAATAATAACACATTGACACTTGGGGTTCTCAGAAAAATACCACACTGACACTTGGGGTCCAAAAACAATAACACATTGACACTTGGGGAGCCTAGAACAATGATGCATTGCTACTTGGGGTCCCCATAATAATGACACACTGGCACATGGGGTCCCAGAACAATGACACATTGACAGTTGGAATCCTTAAAACAATGACACATTGACACATGAGACAACGAGACCAATGACACAGTGTTTCACACCACTGAATAGTAATAACAGGAGATCGAGTGGCTCTAATGCATGTTCTAATGCAAGCAGCTGAAAGATGGACTTGAAGAAGGAAGTTTTCAATGCAAGAACTTCACATCAACTGATCTCTGGAACCAGGGAGTAAAAACACACATTTACTCCTAGTTCTTCTCCTTAACATAACATTTCCAGTTTTGATGTAAAAAAGCATTTTCCCGCAGGTCAGCTGAATACACTGCAATCTATTACATTTATAGCAGACCCTTATTGGCTGCAAGAGGCATAGCTTACACGGGACTATAGACTTCTCCAGGAATGAATGTCCCAGAGCTATTAGAGGGAATGAGACATGAGATCCCCCATACCCATAAGTATCAGGTATATCGTTCTCAAATGGAGAGGACAGTGAGCAAAAGGAAGATAAGTATATTCTGGAGATGGGGAGATTAAAACAAATCTGTAAAGCAGAACTGTGGCCAGGCTCTGGACATTCAAATATTCACACATTCCTAATAAGCAGTAAATACGTTTAAAAACAGACCTCAGCAATTTCTGTATCTGCAGACACTGTGGAGCACTTCAACCTCAAAGTTCACAGCAGAAGCAGTGAAGTCATTCAAGTAAGCTTAATACATAGTAGATCTCATCGCACTCCTGACTGGAAAAAACCCTCAGATGTCGGGTGGGTGCTGAAGTGACTGCAGGCACCTCTGCAAATCATATACAACTGGAAGAAAGTCACTCGCACTCCAACTTGATTTTTAGTCAATCTTGTTTATTGACCATGGTTGTGTCACATTGTTAAGCAAAAACGTAAAGCTTAACAATGTTACACAACCATGGTCAATAAAAAAGGTTGACTAAAATTCAAGTTGGAGTGCGAGTGACTTTCTACCAGTCATTCAAGTAAGGTCTCATCACTTTGCACTCATCCCTATACCTATGTTCCTCCTCTGTGTTACATAAACTGGAAGGCGGCTGACTCATTGCTGGGAGAGGGGGAGCTGAGCTACTGATAAAAAGTGTTTTGCTGTAAATGTGAGGATGAATTGCTCCACAGTAACTGCAGATACAGAGGTCAGTGAGGGCTTGCTTTAAAGTTTATATACTGCACGTTCAAGCCCAATTTTGGGTGGGTTGTCATCCAACCCAGAAGCCTGAAAATCTATTGGCGTAAAAGGATTTTTGCAGGGGACAGCGCCAGAGAGGAGGTGTATATTATAACGATAATTTTTTTGTACATCCCCATGGGGACTGTTTTTTAAAAGAGCTTTCAGAATATGTCCACAGCCTGGCCACATCTCTACTTTAAGCTCCATTTTAAGCAAAAATATTCCTTGTACCTTTCCCTCCGTATTTTGTCCAGCTTGTCCTTTAGGATCATGGTCTCCTTCTTGAGGGTCAGTTGCTGACTCTCGGCTTCCCGCAACTCCTTCTTCAGGTTCTTGATCTCGGCGGCGTGTAGTGCCTCACGCTTGGAAAGCTCCTCCTCGTAGAACACACTCTTCTTCTCCAGGTCCGTCCTCAGCTTGTTGATTTCCTGCTGCTGTTCTGAGCTGCCGAATCCCAGGGTGCGGCCCGTCTGTTTCTGGAGGGAGGAACAAAAACACAGACTGAACATTCTGCAGATACATTCAGCTTCTAGCACCGCAGTGTTTTGGAGCAGAAGGGACTGCTGAGGTTCCTTGGGCAGGTTGAGGTTAGTATTAGGGATGCACCGATACTGGTTTTCGGTATCGAGTACCGATATTTTTTTCCCGGTACTCGCCGATACTGGAAGTCCAATTAAGGAAGTCAGGCGGCGTGTAATGACTCGCCACCCGGCTTCCCGATTAGCAGGGAAGCTGTCACCATGCTCCCTCGTCACCAGGTGACGAGAAAGTATGGATCCGTCTTTCTGACCAATCAGGAGGGGGGTGTAATGACTCGCTGCCCGGCTTCCTGATACCAGAAGTATCGTGCTAGGCATCGGAGCATTTGGGCGAGTACTCGTACTCGCCCAAATACTCGGCATCGGCACTGATACTAGTATCGTTATCAGCGCACCACTAGTTAGTATAATGCAAAAGGGTATACTTAGTGAAAGGGATAGTGATGCGTACCACACTGCACTGGCGGCAGTGTGGAAGAGCCGGGAGTATCCACATTGAAGCAATCTTCCCTGACAGCGCGGACTAGCGCTGAAAACCTACCATTCAGGATCTACGATCTGTTGCCTGTGTCCTTCAATGAACGGGAGAGAAATAAGGGATGAAGCCAGATATAATGTCCTGGACTTACCTTGAGACTCTCCAGCTCGCTCTCCAATTGTTTGGCATATTGCTCGCTCCGTTCGCGCAATTTTCTGTCTTTAGAGGCTTCGGCTACTGCAGCTTCGGCCTGAGCTTCAATCTGGAAAAGAGAACATGAGTCCAGTTCAACTGAGAGGTTAAACCACCACCACCTAGGTTTATTCCCCCCTGCCATCAGTGTACCCCATCTGGGAGATTTCTCCTGCATGTGACAGGGTGACAAAGCAAAAGCACAACTGGAAAACAGTTGTCAGGCCATAAGAGAAAGCGCCATGACCGTCATGGCAGGATCACCAAGAATTATTTTCATGAAACACCAGGTTTAGAAAGTTTATATGAGATATTAGTGAATTTACTTTAATTCGTATAGAAATAATTATTGTCCTTCAAAATACTCTAATACTATCAGAACTAATAATAAGAATAGCAAAAAACACAACCTACCTTCCCTACACATCTTACTGGAAGCATATAGTCATTCCAAACACTATAGGTGCTCGTATTACTCTTATACTCCTAAACTTATTGTTAACTGGTTATTAAACCCACCGCTTTTTTTGCATATATATGAGGCTAGCAAGCAGTAGATATATGCAAAAAGTGTTTAAAAAAAAAAACCGCTTTAAACTTACCTGTGTCTTCCCCGCGCACTCCCGTCCGAAAATGTGAAAGTTCTCGGGAGGCCGCAAAGCATCTTGGGGCGGGCGCATGCGTAGTTCACATTTTCGGCCGGGAGACGAGGAGAGACACAAGGTAAGTATATGGACGGCGTGCACTCGCATGCAGACACCGTGGGACAGGTAGTGTCAGCAAGCACAGAGAAGTCAGCGCTGGATCGGAGAACCGTCGCAGCGCTGGAGGGACAGATGAAAAGGACAGGAAAGAAGAAGATTGGATTAAGAAACATAATTTAAGGTAAGTGTTTTAATTAACATTGGGGGGAGGGAAAAATATATTTGACTTTAATGTCACTTTAAGCTTATTTGGCAATATTTAACATAATGTTCCTGCTCCCCACAGCAAGCAATCCGATGTTCCCTATTTCCCAGTGCAGCATGGCAGAACAATGGGGAGAATCTGAAGGGTTTCTATTGTCAAAACAGACATCTCCTTCAGATACATTTATCTGCACTGTACCATGTCCTAGTTCCCATAACACATCATCCTAGACCCTGACCTCCTTCTTGGCCCGTTCCGTCTTGCGCAGTTCTTGCCGCAGCGACTCCACCTTTTGAGCCACGCTCTCCATTTCCTCTTCCTTGTCGCGCAGCTGCCGGACAAACTTCTGTTTCTGAGACCTCAGCTCAGTCAGCCTCTCGCTCTGCTCCTTCATCTCCTGTAGAGTTTGCTTCTGCTGGCTCTGGGCCTCCTTCAGCTCTTTGGTTTGGGACTTCAACTTCTCGCTGGACTCGGAGAGCTCCTAAATACAAATGAGAGAACGGCAAAATGTCATGACAGGAAGATAACGGATTGTTCATAGTCTTATAGCCTCTAGTCATTCTGCCAAAAAACAATATTTCAATGTTTGGTAGATTTTAGAGATAGAAGCCTCCTGACATTTGAGGGACTCTGTTGGTGAGATCTTTGCACGTTCCCACCTTTCCTGCTGGATTTTTTATGTATTTTATAGAAAATGGAAGGGTTAGACATACTTTCTGTGAAGATTTACCTCTTTATCTGCACTGGTGAGCACTGTCACCAAAAAAGAAAGTGGAGGAAAATCTAACTTTACAGTTGTCCCCAGAACAAGAGGTGATAGGAAATATTCCAATGGGAAAACAGGATGTCAAAAATGTCTTATTAACACAGACATATTGGAGGGGAATTTATCAAAACTGTAGCAGACAAAATCTGGAGCAGCTGTGCACGACAACCAATCAGCTTCTCTGTTCAGTTTGTTCAGGTAAGATTTGAAAATGAAAAATGAGAAGCGGATTGGTTGCCATGCACAGCTGCTCCAGATTTTGTCCCCTCATTGTCAGAAGGATGGCAATGTTTTGGGGATGCAAAGGGTCCTTACATCAGGTTTTATTGAGGACTCACCTTGTTGAGCTCCTCCTTCTCCTGCTTCAGGACTTTCACTTGCTTCTCAAACACCTTGATCTGTCTAGAGAAATCCTCCAAGTCCTGCCTCGATCCTCCTCCGCTCTTTTGCAGCTGCTGGTTAAGCTGTCCGGCCCCTGGAAGGCAAAAATAGGTCTCTTCACCTTTAATGACAAACACACTGGGCCTTAAAGTGAACCTGTCAAACATTTTATAAAAGCCATTTTAAAAGAAATCAATAGACCAAAACAAGTAAGAAACTCCTGCGCTCAGCAAAAGAGACACAATGTATCCACAAACACAATCAAACATTGAATTTCACCTATCAAAATAAAAGGACTTGCTTTATTAGTCCACAATAGTTATGATCCCTCTTCTGTGAAAATTGTCTGTTTAATGATGCAAATGGAACTTTATCGCCAGGATGGGTTTGCAGCAAGTATGTCAGTTCATAAGATGCTGCTTGCTCTTTGCCAGCGAGTTCACGCAGACTCTCTCCTTAAACTGCAAACTCGCTGGCCATGAGCAAGTGGCATATTACTAAGGGCTCGGTCACACCAGGTGGTTTGATCAGCAATGATGAATGCAGGCTCAACACAAGGGCACATGGAAAACTAGGATTTGGCTTACACCTTTAATCCGTTTACCAGCAGGGGCCGTCCCTAGGCCGTGCTTTTGTTTTAGTGCTTAGTGTCCTACTCCTGAAAATGGTGCTATAACCCAACAGTCAAGATCTAAAGATCTCCACTGTGTCCCTCAATGAAGGGAAGCAAAACGATGGTTCTCCCTATGCACGTGATGTCATTATATGCATGCTCGGAATGACGTCACACGCACTTAACTACAGGCGACATCTTGTTGATGGGCGCCGGCAAGAGAGTAGGGGATGTTAATCCACCAGGATAAAGGTATGCTGCGGGGTCCCCTCCTCTCTCGTGCAGCTGTCGGGCTCTTGGCCCATGACCAAGTGCCCAACTTTTCAGAGGGGGCGACACAAAAACTGACTGTGAATCATGTTGGTGTCACCCCCCTCTAACGGCGTCATCTGGTGTGGGCCCAATATAGAAATGTCACCAGCACACCAGAATCCTTTTAGAATAAGGAATTTGAAGTTCCTTGTCTTATAAACAAGCGTTTTTGGGGCCGCAGGAGGGTCCCTTCATCAGGCTTAGCACCCTTGTGATGCCACTGGAGGAGGAGGATGTTCAATAGTTCACCAAGACAGCTGGGAACAATATAACTAATGACAGTCAGCATAGACATTGGAAGTTATCAGCAAACAAGATTTCAGTAAGGATCAACGACCTTTTCTTGTTCGTATATTGAACAGATATTCCAACATGCGTTTAATGGTATACTAACAGGCCAAAAGGGAGCAAATAATCGAAGTTTATGGTTAGGGTTTACATGCACTTTAAATACGTAAATATGTTATAGGTAGTAAATAGGAGGAACCTGGATTGGCGCTTTAAACAAGTCCAGAGACACTACAAAAATGCATCTGGCATTTGGATTATTTTCAGCCGTGGCGGAATATTTCTTCAGGTTTACTGCAATTCCACCGGTAGCGGGCTGTTATCGTTTTTTTACACTACATAACTTGTGGGTGTCTGGTGTTTAGACTGACACATTCCAGACGGGATCTGCAGCTTGCGGAGGAGGAAGGGCACACAGGTGTGTGTGTGTGTGTTTATATACAAGATTACGTGCTAAAATTAGGACCATATGCCTCTTCCATCCAGGGATAACAAAAGTAAAACAATCGCCCCTTGAAAATAGGAGAAAAGCTGAACTTCTTCCCGTTTGTTTTGGTCAGGAAAAGGCAATTCCTTTGTAAAATAAATCAGAGATCGGGCCAGTATTCAGAGCTCTCCACCTCCTAACATTCTGGGATTCAGTGATGCCTTGGGCTATTTGGGTATCAGGTCCGATATCTCATAACTTACACATGTCTACTTCCTGCAGCCAGGGTCTGTATGAGAGGCTCATGAAAAGAAGGTTATGCTCTTTTGAAGTTTTAGCCGTTTCCCAGTTTATAAAAGTTGTGATGATAACATGCAATATTGAGAAACTAAAAACCCCATAGTGCGAGGAAGTTTTGGGATGGGGTGAGCTAAAAAGCTACCCTATCCACATGTAGAAATCACAAACAACATTCTCCATTAAAGACCAGCTATGAGCAAAACACTGCCACTGCTGACCTACGCTTTTGAAAAATATTGAAGAATGATATTAGAGCCTACTTTTTTATTTCTTCTATATTGGCACAGATACCAGCGCCAGGTGTATTTTTACTTGCATCTTGGTCTCCTTTTTTATATTTCTTCCAAATCTGTGCTGCCATCCAGGGTGAAGCAACTCCTGTACTTTGCCTTTGTGCAGGAGCTTCCTGTAACACAGACCAGTCAATGCTGCCCTTTCTCTTTGTGCAGGGAGACTGGTCTTGTGTCGCGTTATGTTGCACGCAAACGTGTGTTGTGTTAAGACCATCCACTCAATAAAGTGTGCTTGCCAGCACATTAGAAGGGACCAGACATAAACAAGTAAATAAATAAATGGACAATCTTTTTTTTCCGTATGCAGCACGCAGTAGTGTACCATGCATTTGCATGCCCTGCTTTGCAGGAGCATTGCAGGTGCACTGGGATGGCATTTTATTCTATTTATTTAAGCCAGGTATTTATAAAGCACCTTCAATTTATGCCGCGCTTTATATACTATTCATTCACATCAGTCCCGGCCCTCAGGGAGCTTACAATCTGAGGTCTCTATCCCACATGCATTCAAATACTAGGACCAATTTAGATAGGAGACAATTACTCTACCAGCATGTCTTTGGAGTGCGGAAGGAAACCAGTGTAGCCAGGTAGGGGATTAAAAAGGAATGGCACTACATCACATTAATGCACGCAATACGTGCTGACGTGCTTTGCTATAACGTGCACGTTTTCACACCGTAGCATGGGCCCTTAGGGTTCATATCAACAAGCAATCTGCAGTGAGGAGGATTGTGGGTAACAGCAGTCCCGCTCTCTCAATCCTTAACAGCCTCTTGTTTCCTCCCCGGAGACGGTGCAGCGTGCCATAGACGGGGTTTGGCCCGCCGCTCTTGTCTGCTAATGAACTTCTAGTAAAAGATGAAGCTAGCACAAAGCTGGGAGCTCTCTCCAAACCCATCTAACCTCCTAAACAGCAGTGATGGAATCCAGGGACCGTAAAACGGCTGGACGCATACGAATCGGGAATAGCGGAGAGCAGAACATATGATTACCGCTGATATGGAAAACTTAGGAGCTGGCAGCGGTACAAGCACATTGGAGCTCAGCCTAGAAGTCTAATCATTCTCAAATGTGACAAGAAAATATTGGTAGCGCTCTTCCCGACATGGTGAAATCGCAGAAACGCGCTCACCTCTCCAGGGAACGAGAAGCTTTTGGAGAAACGTCTGCGAAATTCTGCCTCCGATTTTGACCTGTGACCCTGTGAATTTTTTTCATTGAATTTACTACCCCAAACAAATATAATCTATAGGGTATGTCACCAACGCACCAGAATGAAGTGTCCAATAATTGTCTTTATTGATGCATGCACATCATGTCACAAAAAAGCAAAGTTTTGGGCCACTCTGGGGCCCTTCATCAAGCTCAATTTGACCATCATATTGAGCCTGATAAAGGGACCTAGGGTGACCCTGAAATGGTGCTTTCTCTGTGAGATGATGTGCATGCAGCAATAAAGATGATTATTGGACACTTCATTCCGGTGTGCCGGTGGCATACCTTAGCTTCTTGGATTTGAGTGGCACCATCCGCAGCCACTTCAGCACCCATCTTCTAGTGGCATACTGGTAAGAAGTCCCATGGGATATCCATTGGACTTCCTAATCTATAGGTTCATGTGCACACTTACAGCAACCCCTTGCATTGCCAAATGGCTGCCAAGTACAAACAATTGTTGACAACTCACAACTGTAAACAAAAAGGGCTTCAATCTGTCCTCAGAGACCCAGTTATTCCCGTGCTGGGTGAAACTATCTTGCCTCTGGCACAGAATAGAGAAGTTGAAGCCAGGCTGCCAATCACTTGCCCACAAGTCAATGCTACCACCCGACCCGTGACAGCTATTAGACACTGCTTGCTGCATACAGCAGCCAGGGAAAATGATCAGAGATGGAGATGAGGGCGTCAGCAGTTTTCATATAAGTAACAACATTGTTGAAGCTGCATGTTTTGGTGCAAGAAGTACAAATACATGAGCTAATTGGGTGGATTAGGAGGATACTGCTATGCTTAGATGCTTTGGGAATGGAAAGGTTCGCTTTAAAACAAAATTATTCAACAACAAGCGCCAGACAAATCTAAATTAAAACCCTTTAATCCAGTCATGCGTGTGTTCTAATGCATGTTACAAAAATGCATAGCACCGCATGCTATGCTGGTGCAATACAGTGCCATTCCTTCTGAATGGCACCCCAGCATACCTTGTTAATGGATGTGCAAGTGGCAACATACTAACATGCATTGTGCAGGTCTGATTTCTGGCCCATAGAGATGCATTGCTAACTCATTAATTTTTGTGTTAACATGCATGCACCCCAGCGATTAAGGTGCTGACCATTGTATACACCCCTGTTAGTGTTATATTGTTTGTCCCAGCCCCAGTAAATGCATGTGCACCAATGGCCCATACACTTGAATGGGATGGGTCCATATTGCAAGAACAATGTCTCATTAAAGTCTTTGGAATATTAATGATCAGGTGCAGGTAGCCGGGCACTAGATTTTTACTAGTAGTACTGCTGACAGCCCTAGGAGGAGGTAAATAAGGACCTGTGCAGGGGGATTTAAAAAAACAAAACTGAATTTCCACTTTAAAATCGGCTCACTTGAATTTCTGGTAAATGTCACCAAAAACTGCAAACTTCTAGGTTGCCATTATCAAGATAACAACAAGGTTCATATCTCCATATTCGTCTCAGCATAGAGGAACCAGTACAAAGGCCCCATATACTGTACATGTCTCAACAGTCTTTCAGCAAAGGGAATTTAGTGGCTTTATGTACATCTGACAAGTCCGACTGATGGTGAATCTATAGAACTAAACATAAAAGTTGTGACAATATCCTATAGCAAGCCAGTAAAAAGCCACATCAAATGTACATTTCAGTTAAAGCTTGCAATAAAAACTCAGAAGAGCGCACACCCTTAAGTGTATGTTTAGAAGAAGTGTAAAATGACTACATGGCCGCAATACAGAGATTTCTTCTTTTCCTGATGAGTAAAGGAAATCCTATACTTGTCAGTGCCATATAGGGGAGCTAGTGTCATGAAAACTTTGGGCTGAACTTTTATAAAAGAGTCCTTGAGTCAGGGTCGCCCACTAGGTCAATCACGATCTACAAATGTTTTGTAAAGCGAACGCTGGTAGATCGTGAACACAAGTCAGCTCGTTGTCCCAACCTCCCTCCTGCGTTGCCAGTGTGGCTGAATGTGCTGGACGCTACAGATGGTGAGGGGTGTCCCGCCCATCCCCGCAACGCCTGAAACATTCGGCCGCACTAGCACTACAGAATGACAGGATGCGTGAAGAGCTGGGAAGCAGGTAAAAAGCTGCTGAAGATTTAGGGTGCCTCTGAAAGGAGAGAGAGCCGGGAGAGAGAGAGAGAGAGAGCCGGGAGAGAGAGAGAGAGAGAGAGAGCCGCGAGAGAGAGAGAGAGAGAGAGGGGAGA